TCAGCGCAAATCCGTCGGCATATGGTAAAATCCATTAAGAATATCAAATATTCCTATAGGGCCAAAAATTCGTCAACTATATTTATGATGTTTATGGCCTGTTGATGGATGCACAGGATTTGTGAACACCGGGGCCTCATGCTGCGAAGGCCCATGTGCAACTAACTATAGGCCACCATGTGCCAACCGCATGGAGTATTGGTATTGGGACCAGGAGAACCCGACGGAGCAGGCTGCTAAGCTGGCCACAACAACATTTTTCAATGGCACAACGCAATTCACAGCACCGGTGAACTTCGAGACGCTGATCAATCAAAAGTGATTTATGTTTATGTTTTAAGCTTGTAGTATCCACAATAAAAGCGATCTGATCAACCAAAAGTGATTTATGTTTAAGTTTCCGGCTTGTAGTATCCACAATAAAAGCGACTCATCTGTGTGAACCATATATATATATTTCCATTTGCCCTGAATTCTAATGTGTGGCACTGTGTTGATCATAGCTTTCAATGGTGTCATGGCACGTTGAGTGCAGGGTTGAGTCATGAACGCTACTGAGAGTTGGTGGTGCGCAATAACCGGCTTTAGAATTGAGGGTTCTACCCTAACCGAAGTAGTAAGTTTAGTGTTGAAAAATGGACTTCTTTCATCCTTGGATCATTACAATCATGGTTTACAAGAAAGAAACAAAGAGATCACTCTGTTTTATAATCTTACCATTTTACAACATATATCTAGGAGCTACGACTAACAAATTCTAAACTCTAAGCTTTATCACTTAATATCCTCCCTCAATATCAGCGAGTCCAAGTTGAGATTATTCTTGAAGGCCTTTGTAACGCCTCGGGCACATTCACCGATTCCTGATTGTTACACCTGGCGGGATCTAGACTAGCTAGCTTCATAGACCAACACTAGTTTGTCCTGCGCACTTTGTCCTCACTCTTGTGCACTCGGCATCAACTTTCCAGTTGGGCACCCATCCTTAAATCTCTCCAAGTCAAGCACGGTTAACTTTGTTGTTCTTTGCGAATGGGCTCCCAAAAAAAGAATGAATCACTTGTTTATATGAGTAGTCTATCATTTCTTTTAAGTCAGGCTCTCACATACACCCCCACTCAAAGGAACTAACGTCCTCGTCGGCCAACGGGAACGTTCCCTGTTGGCACACTATGTACGTCCAGTCTGGCACATGTGTCATGTCGTGTGCCACGACGGGCCACATACCCGCGCACCTGACTCACACACGCCTGTGTAGCTGTGAGGATCAGCTTTGATGCCAATTGTAACGCCCCACCACGTCTGTCGGTTCCTGGCTGTTATGCTTGGCGAGATCTAAACTGACCCTATAGACCAACACTAATCTCTCCTGCGCACTTTGTCCTCACTCATTCGCACCCGGGATCAACTTCTGGGGGTCGGTCACTCATCCTTAAATCACTCCAAACCAAGCATGCTTAACTTTTAAGTTCCTTGCAAACGGGCTTCTGAAAAAGAAGGAATTCCTTATTGATATGAGTAGTCTATTATTCCTATTAAGCCAGACTCTCATAGCCTTGGATTATCAAACTTAACAATGGATTTATGAAGTGATATGTCCAATAGCTTATGAGAAACTATTTCTGTAAAAAAAATGGAAGTCAATTTTCTATATGTTTTGTTCTGGCATGGAAAACAGGATTGGCTGAAAGATATGTTACTCCAATATTACCGCACCAAAGATATGATGTTTGACACGTCTTCAATGTATCTATAATTTTTTATTGTTTCATGTTATTATATTATCTATTTTGGATGTTTTATATGCAGTATTATGCTATTTTATATGATTTTTGGGACTAACCTATTAATCTAGAGCCCAGTGTCAGTTCTTATTTTTCCCTCTTTTAGAATTTCATAGAAAACGAATATCAAACGGAGTTTAAACAGAATGAAACTTTCACAATGATGGACCAAATGCAGCCGGTGCGGCCGGCGTTGTTTGTGTTCGGAGACGGGTCTTTGGACATCGGCAACAACAACTACATAGAGCCCAACGAGGTGGGAGACCCTTGGAGAGACAACCACTCTTACTACGGCATAGATTTCCCCAGGTCTGAGCCCACCGGAAGGTTCAGCAATGGGTTCAACATGGCTGACTTCATCGGTATGCTACTTTTGGTCCCATCATGCCAGCTATTTTTTAAAATAATACACTTTTTTATTAATTTACAGAAATATATGCTGATTTTTTTAAATAATACATAGCAGCTGACTCGCCCGGGACTAATTGGCTAATCGGCTTAGGGGAAGCCAATTAGTCAGAAACCCAATCAGCTTCCCTGTAGCCGACAGGAGCTTCAGCTGCCACCTGGCCGACTATGTTTATTTTAAAAAAGTATTAATTGGCGTATTATTTTTGTAAATTAATAAAAATGTATTATTTTAAAAAATTAGCGTCATGTCATATGCCTATTTTTCATGATTTACTTAATTACAGCTCAAGACATTGGCCTGGCCAATTATGCACAAGGTGGATCTACTTGTTCTAAACACTGGTATGAAGCTTTTCTCAACCATTGTTTGCCAACAGTCTTCGATTTGATGTATTCTTATTTTCTCATGTATAGTCTTAATTCATTTGTTTTACTTTACCCATAGCAATTGAAAAATAATACTAAAAGATAACACCATATATGCTATCAGCTGCAAAGAAATGTAATTAAGATATGAAGTTCAATAAGCTAGTTATATGGGATAAAAATACTATTATGGTTTGACAACTACTCCCTATCTATGTTGAAATATAGTGCTTATTAATTTTTCTCTAAAGTCTAACCTCGTAAACTTTGACTATGTTTATAGGAAATTTTATCAACGCGTCTACAATACCAAATATATACTATTACATTCATTATGAAATATACTTTCATATTGTATACATTTGGTACTGTAAATATTCCTATTCTTTTACAAAATTTAGAATGTTGGACTTAAGAAAAATCTAATATGCACTATATTTTGGCATGGAGTGAGCACCGAATACCATCTCCATTTCAAATTACAAGGCGTATAACTTTTCTCATCTTATTTCATATGATAGGATACGCATGTAAATTTATCGATGTTTCTCCTTGTTCACTCCTACTAATTGCAAATTTTACTCTTGTATTTGTATGCATATAAGCCTGGCTCTCACATACACCCTCACTCAGAGGAACTAACGTCCTCGTCAGCCCACGGAAACGTTCTCTGTTGGCACACTTTGTGCGTCCAATATGGCACATGTGTCATGTCGTGTGCCACGACGGGCCACATGCCGCGCACCTGACCCGCACAAGACTGTGTAGCCGTGAGGGTCAACTTTGATACCAATTGCAACGCCCCAACCACATCCATTGGTTCCTAGCTATTATGCCCAGCGAGATCTAAACTGACCCCATAGACCAACACTAGTCTCTCCTGCGCACTTTGTCCTCACTCGTGCGCACCCAAGATCAACTTCTGGATGATCACCTATCCTTAAATCACTCCAAGCCAAGCACGCTTAACTTTGAAGTTCCTTGCGATTGGGCAGCTGAAAAAGAAGGAATTCCTTATTAATATGAGTAGTTTGTCATTCTTATTAAGCCCGACTCTCACAGCCTTAGATTTGACAAACTTACAATGGATTTATGAAGCCATATGTCCAATAGCTTATGAGAAACTATTTCTCTCAAAAAATTGAAGTCAATTTTTATATGTTTTGTTCTGGCATGGAAAACCGGGTTGGCTGGAAGATATGTTGCTCCAATATTACCACACCAAAGACAGGATCCCCTATTCAGATTTATGTTTTGTTCTGGAAGATATGTCAAGCGAGACATAGTCGCGCCCATATCCGAATCCCCTATTCAGATTTATTTTTGTCACAAAGTTTCGAGCATTCGGTTCTTTTTCCAGCCATGGTGTTGTTCAGTATTGCTGATTGTTTCTGGAAGACTGATGGAATATCTATTCTGAAAAAAAAAAGATCTTACAAGTTACAAACGTTGACACTTTTTTTATGTGTGCAGGGAACTGCTATCGTCGTGTTAAAATCTCATACCTTGGGTGCCACTTGTTTTATTTTTCTGAGACGGCGGCGTCACTTGTTAGGCAGTCAAGTAAAGTGACAGGCAAAGCAGAAAGTCCCACGTTGAAAATTGACACGGCGAGACCCGTCCTTTGTCATGTACGCACCAGAGGAACAGCATCTCGACTGAAATGCTTGTCATGTACTCTCTCCGTCCAAAAAAACTTGTCTCTTAAAGTGCTATACTAGATACATCCATTTGAGAGACAAGTTTTTTATGCTAGATACATCCATTTAAGAGATAAGTTTTTTCGGACGGAGGGAGTATGTTGCTGACCACTCCGCTCTCCAGCGCGACGATGCTAACAATGGTCTGGTTTTGATTTCTGAAGAAAAAGAAACAATGGGTAGACCATTACGTGCGCACACTGACTGAACCATGTCGTGTTGCAGCGCATGCGGCCATAAACCCTTGTTTTCTTGTATGTATGAATCAACATTCAACGCTTACATTTTCTTGTAATTTTTTTTACTGGTCCCATGTCATTTTCTTGTAATTTCAGGACTATACACCAGCCAGCTGAAAGCCTGAAACCTGAAAGACAGAGACCACACAGGATAGTTCAACTGTTGCTGACTGAATACAACAAGTTACCACCAAAGGAAATGACGAGAGAAGGCCATGTCCATGCTGCAAAGCCGGCCATTTTTGTCCCGAGAAGGAAATTTGGACCCGGCAGCCTTTGTATACTAATGAAAGAAATACATCACAGCTTGAGGATGAAGACTTCACAACTAAAACTATTCATGGAACTGACCAGAACCTAACACTTCCGTCTTCATCATTAAACTACAGCAGTAAACCGCTTCCTCTGGAGGGCGCACTGCCGGTGGATTCCTATAACAGCATTCACCTGTGATCATTCCAAGGAAAGATCAACCTGAGTACCTCCAGCCTGCAACCAACATGGGCGCACGCTCCACCTCCCTGCTTCTACTGACTTCGATGATCCATCTGCTCTCGCGCGCCTCGGCCCGCGAGTTCCTCTCGCCAGGCTCCTCGCTCTCCACCGAGGACGGCTCCGGCATGCTCCATTCGCCAAACGGCGCCTTCACCTGCGGCTTCCACAACATCTCCCCAAACGCCTCCGTCTTCTCCGTCTGGTTCGCCGGCACGGCCGAGAAGACCGTCGTCTGGAGCGCAAACCATCTCCGCCCCGTCTACTCCCGGGGATCCCGGGCCGTGTTGCACGCTGACGGCAGCATGGTTGTGGAAGACTACGACGGCGAGCCCGCGTGGGCAAACAACGTCAGCTCCTCATCAAAGGCCGAGCAAGCCCGGCTGCTGGACACGGGCAACCTCGTCGTCAGCGGCCAAGGTGATGTCATTCTGTGGCAAAGCTTTGATTCTCCTACTGATACGCTGCTGCCCAATCAGAGCATCACTGCGGCTACGAAGTTGGTGTCCGCTCATAGGTTACTTGCTCCTGGGCGCTACAGTTTCCATTTCGACGACGCGCATTTGCTCTCGCTGTTTGATGATGAGCAGGACATCTCTTTTATCTACTGGCCAAAGCCTGATCTTGCTGCCTGGGCAAGGCAAAGAAACCCATTTAGTACCACCACCGTTGGGGTCCTTGATAGCTGGGGGTATTTCCTTGGGAGTGATGATTTGACTTTCAAGTCTGCTGACTGGGGTCCTGGGGTTATGAGGAGGCTAACATTGGATTATGATGGCAACCTCAGATTATACAGTCTAGAAAACCGGAAATGGTCGGTCACATGGATAGCATTTCAGACCTGCTTCGTACACGGTCAGTGTGGTATGAATGGAATATGTGTGTATACACCTAGGCCTGCTTGCGCATGCGCCCCTGGACACGAGGTCATCGACCCAAGTGACCGGAGCAAAGGCTGCCGGCCGAGGTTCAACCTCAGTTGTGATGGGCAGGAGATGAAATTTGTGAAGCTACCCTCCACTGACTTCATAGCTTATGATCAAAGTAAGCGCAGCTTAGTTTCCTTTGATACTTGCAAGCAGATATGCATGGATGACTGCAGTTGCAAAGGTTTCTCATACTGGCAAGGAGGTGGATCCTGCTACCCAAAGTCATCCCTTGTTGGCGGGGTAACCAGCCCAGGCTTACCTGGTTCTATCTATCTCAAGCTTCCAAAGACAGTACAGGTCTCAGGGTCCTCAATTCCTCAATCGCAGCCTTTTGGTCCCACATATGCTCCGAACTGTAGTGCAAAGAACAAATATTTCACTGCAGATTTTCCGGATATACCCAAGAGCAATCAGAGTGGATCAAAGTATTTGTACTTCTATGGGTTCTTATCAGCAATATTCTGTGTGGAGGTAATATTTGTGGCATTAGGATGCTGGTTTATGGTGAGATTGGAGGGCAAGCAGTTAACAGGAGTATGGCCAGCTGAGGTTGGCTATGAGATGATAACCAACCACTTCCGGAGATATACTTACAAGGAGTTGCAGAGAGCAACTCGGAAGTTCAAGTGTCAGATTGGGAGGGGCGCATCTGGTCTTGTGTACAAGGGGATCTTGAAAGACAAGAGGGCAGTAGCAGTGAAAAGGTTGGCAGACATAAACCAAGGCGAAGAAGAGTTCCAACATGAACTGAGTGTGATTGGAAAGATCTACCATATGAATCTGGTGAGGGTTTGGGGATTCTGTTCTGATGGTCCACACAGGATATTGGTTTTAGAGTACGTTGAAAATGGTTCTTTGGACAAAACGCTGTTTAGTGGAAAGGCCTCACAGATATTACTTGGATGGAATGAAAGATTTAAGATTGCTCTAGGGGTGGCAAAAGGATTGGCTTATCTTCATCATGAGTGCCTGGAATGGGTTATCCACTGCGACCTCAAGCCTGAGAACATACTGTTGGATGGGAACTTGGAGCCAAAGATCACCGACTTTGGCCTCGCAAAACTTCTGAATAGGGGTGGATCCAACAAAAGTGTATCGCGGATCCATGGAACTAGAGGTTATATAGCTCCTGAGTGGGTTTCTAGCCTCCCAATAACAGCAAAGGTTGATGTCTACAGCTTTGGAGTGGTTCTCCTAGAACTACTGAAGGGGGCTCGTGTTTCAGACTGGGCGCCAAATGCTGATGAAGAAGTGGAAATGGTCCTTCGAAGGGTCGTTAGGATGCTTGCAGAAAATCTGATGCTGGAGGGTAGCAAACAGTTATGGATCGATGACTTCATTGACTCCAGGTTAAACCGCCAGTTCAATGACCTGCAAGCAAGAACAATGATCAAGCTGGCTGTTTCATGCGTAGAGGAAGACAGTAGAAAAAGACCCACAATGGAAAATGCTGTGCAGATGCTCCTTTCAGTTGATGAAGCCAGTGGCATAATGCAGCAGTATTCTACCAACTGAACAAAGAGCTTGGTGTTTGATATAGCATACACCATCGATTATTATCACTGGATCCAAAACAAGATATCTATGAAATGTGTCCATGTAAATCAGGGAACTGCATGAGCCACTTGTATGCCAATTTTCAGTTTTGACCACACTATACAAGATTATGTAGTCTCATAATACTAATATTTGTGGGATCGTTATGCTAGTTTGTGTTGTAACAGATTAAGATTTCGTGTGACCATGTGGTTTACCATGAATGCACAATATTTTCACGTTTGTGGTATTTCCTTTTTGAGAATACATGTTCATGGGTGTTGCGATTTTGGTTGAAACAACTGTACAAATATTCAGATCTAGTGAATCTTAGGACTACCTGTTTGCAAGCAAATTCCGTTGACACCTGTTTTGGTTATATCCAGGAGGCAAGGTCAATTGTTCAAGACAAATTATGTCACCTGTCTAACTAACAATACATAGTTCAGTCCTTTCTCCCGAAAAGGAAGTTCAGAGTCAGAATAATATTTAGCTCAATTTATCCTAAGGATTTCTTAAGCACAAATCAGATTCGTCATTCTTTCACCTTGACTTTTCCATTGTTGATAGAGTAATATGCGTCTACATAAACATTTGGGGAAAGTAAAGAACCTTGCTGAGCCCTCAGTTGTGCCTGTTGAATCAAAGAACTGTGCCAAAATAGCAATTATAAACTTGCCTATTTATCTCCCAAGTTGGTTCCAATTCATGCTCTAGCAATTAGCTTGTACTTTTAGCGATTTTGAGAAACGGGCAAAGAAATAACACAGGGACCAACAATTAAATTATTTCTTGCTTATGTAGTTATCAAGTGAGATTTTATCTACAAGTTAGACAAATGATCATATCATGTTTCGGAAGCATGAGGACTGCGCTGCGTCTCTTTAAATTTGCAATTTTAGCTACCTACATTTTGACCCAAACCAGCAGGAGCTCTGCTTTTGCATTATAGAAGGGGGGAAACGAGACGCAGGTTGAGCTTGCTTGCCTTCAAAAACTCTACAATCTCTTTGCTCCCACAAGTGTCAAGTTGTGTAAGCAGCATACGAAACTTCAGCCCTCCTGGTCTCCTTGCAAACCCCTCTGTTTAACTTGCGCCGCCACATTTGACTGTTTGAGATCCCAGAGCAACGTCAGCCATCCTCTGATGAAAATGCAGCAGAAGGTGCAGAGGCCGTTTCAGGCTCCCGGTCACACAAAAAGCACGCATTGTTGTGCAGTCAGTTGCGCGCCCCTAACCTGTCCGCCGTCCAGTTTCTGCTCTGAAGAAGCAACCAAACATAGAACTTTACTTTTACCTCTGCCTTGATCTTCCAAAGCTGCTCCAGATGCGGCTGCTGCATTCTGCCAATCAATTGAACTTTTTTTTTAATTTTAATGAATTGAAACTCTATGAGATCATCCTGATCCGAGAGCACTGAACCAACTGAATTTTTTTTCGAAAGCTGTGGTAGAATTTTTCATAGTTTTCAAACAAAATTTAAATTTTATGTAAATTCAAAAAACTATTTACATAAAGTTAAGTTTATGTATTTTTCTAAAATATAGCAAATAATGAAACCTACAAAGTTCAAACCATTTTCCATACAATACCATAAAAACATAGAACAGTAAAAAAAACACTAAAAACAAAATACCTAACTATTATAGCAGTGGTGGGGCGAGCTAGGAGAAGGACTGTCCCACGGCTAATCTGAACCAGACTACTAGTGGTGAGTGCAACCTACAAAGTTCAAACCATTTTCCATACAATACCATAAAAACATAGAACAGTAAAAAAAACACTAAAAACAAAATACCTAACTATTATAGCAGTGGTGGGGCGAGCTAGGAGAAGGACTGTCCCACGGCTAATCTGAACCAGACTACTAGTTAAGTTTATGTACTTTTCTAAAATATAGCAAATAATGAAACCTACAAAGTTCAAACCATTTTCCATACAATACCATAAAAACATAGAACAGTAAAAAAACACTAAAAACAAAATACCTAACTATTATAGCAGTGGTGGGGCGAGCTAGGAGAAGGACTGTCCCACGGCTAATCTGAACCAGACTACTAGTTAAGTTTATGTATTTTTCTAAAATATAGCAAATAATGAAACCTACAAAGTTCAAACCATTTTCCAT